CATGGCCTCTAACTCTTTGGCACTCTCTGCAATAATTGCTATATCGTCTGCATATTTTAGTGTCCACACTTTTAATTTGCCACATACCGTTCCACCCTCTTCTTTACTGGGTCGGTATTAGACCTGGTGCTCATGGTTGATAGGGGATGTGAATCGTTAATGAGCTCCATGGAAATAATTGATAGGGTAGAATCGGATCATTTGCCGGTGGCATTCTCTTTTAATTTGAATAGTAGGAATGGCGAGATAACGGGTAGAGTAAGACAAGAAGAATGTGTGTTAACAAAAGAAAAGATAATATGGGACAAAAATAAGGTAGAGAGGTTCCAAGTCATAATGACAGATAGGGTGGAAAACGAAGGGGAAGGGAACGAAATAACTTGGGAAAAAATTGCAAAAATGATATGGGAAGTTGCGAGAGAGGTAGGGATGACAAAGTGGATAGGAAAAAGGTCAAACTTTGAGGGAGGAAATACTGTAAGGTTTTCTGAAAACTGCCAGCAGCTTAAAAAAGAAATGTGGGGGCTTTTAAAAGCTTGGCTGAGCGAAAGATGTCAAGAGAAAAAGGAGGCCTTGAGAAGTTGTAGGAATAGGCTAAAAGAAGAAACTCAACAGAAGAAAGATGAAGCATGGTGGGAAATTGATAAGGCAAAAGGAATATCTGAGTGGTGGAAAGCAATTAGTAAGTTTAGGGTTTAGGGTAGCGTTTTCCTTCCACAATTTTTCCCTTCCTGCCATAGACTTTGTAGCATTCATTTTGAGGAGAGTTTCCCGTCATGTTCGGGACGTGCCTGTGTCGCTTGTTTCCAGACGGTTGGAATGGTTGTTCTGCTTCGTTTTCTTGACGTGCGTATTTATGAAGCATTCCCCTTATTTCTTCTTCCCTGAATTATGTAATTTTGGGAGGGCTTTTGCGAGTATTTTCGGAGTACAGTACCCCACAACACATCAAAAAATTATTTCCTGTACCACTTTGTACATCGTCTCAAAGCCGAGCTATACGACGTCATCTGGTCACTAAGATCAATACTGGATTTTCCAGTGTTGTAATCTATGATGCATTCGAGTTGTACTGATAATCTTTTTCAGCCATGAGTATTTAGTTTAAAGCGCGGATACTATTCTGTTGTATCTCCACTTCAACATGGTAATCCCCTCACTTGTTTCTCGGGCTGCAATATCTCTTTTTTGTAATTTGGCAGCAACCACATCTGGAGGTAAAAACTTTTGGTTCAGTCAAAGAGTGCTTACTAAGAGAGTCTCATGTTGCCGGAACCGGTAAGCCAGGGGTACTTTAGTATACCAATTGTCAGTATACAGGACTCTTCCTTCCTCAAGTAACCCATCTGTTAGCTCCATTACTATACTTTCAGCCGCATCCGTCAAGTGATTCTGGGATCACAGTATATCATCAAGTTCCAGGTATAACTTTTGTCCAAACATAATTTGAATACCTTCGTCCCATATTTGTGACGCTTGTTAGGGATTTATTGCCTCAACATTAGACATTCTCTCCAGGGTATGAGGTTTTCGTCGATGCACATTCTTTTTTGCTGAAGTATATACCTCTTTATAGTTGTGAATAAATTTGTTGACGACCAGACGTAGTTTGAATAGATCGTTATCATTTGGGGTTTTTGTATAATATTGTCAGAGAAGTGCATGAATTTGAGAAGCAATTCAAATCTGTTTCTTGACGTTACTTTTCTAGTTAAAGGAATACATTTCGTACTGAAAATATGTCTGCTATTGTCTGGTGGAAGGCTCGCATGCCCCATATTTCTCAACTGAGTTTGGGTCATATCATCTTCTGAAGAGTATGCTGATTCAGACATATTATCTTTTGATGCAAATAAGTCTCCAACTGCACGAGGGATGTCGCCTGAATCATAATTAGGATCCGCGACTGAATCATCACTTGAGAAATCCATTTCAAGAAACTATTAGTCTAGTCTTTCACACTTTATCAAGTCTTTTATACTTTATCAAGTCTTTTACACTTTATCTAGTCTTTTGCACTTTTATGTTTACAAAAACAATACGTTCTTTTTATCCTGAAACAATACAAAAAAGAAAAGTAAAAAAACATTATTCATTGTTTTCTCTTATTTTGGGGTTTTCTGATTTCTTTTTTTTTTTCTTCTGCTAGGGGTTTCTTTTTTCTCGTATATCTGTGAACAAAGAAAGAAATAAGAAAGAAAAAGGCAAGGAAAACCAAAAAAGAAAATGTGCGTCCAAAAGCTTACAAACGGCCTCTGACTAAGATTTTTACTCAAAACATTTTCATGGGCCTTGTGTATTTTTTTGGCACACAAAGAAAATGAGGGAAAATCAAAGAATAACCTTTATTTTACCGAAATATAGTACCCCAGTACTTTATCAACTGTTTTTAAAAAGAGAAGTCCAAAAAATGAAAAACACTTATTTTGAGCTTGGCGGCCAACGTGTTTGTCTAATTATAATTACTACATGTAACATTTAATATACGTATACATTTATACACTTTGCAGTTTCTTTCTTTAAAGTTAATCAAACACTCTAATGAATTTAAAGAATTGAAGGATAGCTTTCTGTCCCGACTGAGAGTTGAAGGTTGGTGCCAGTTTGTTGTTGTCTCTCTATATTTGGAGGTGAGGACATTCCATAAGCATGTGGACTATACTGCTTTGATTGTTGCAGCCTGGGCATGAGATTTGTTAGCAATTTGATGCGGCAGTGCGTGGAACTATGGTTTTTAAAAGAAAATGCAAAAACAATAATATGTACATTGTATTTAAGATGAACAGAAAAACAGATTATAGTTTCAAGGCAAACTTACGACTACTATTACAAAGAACTTAAGAAGGCATCGAAGCCGGAGCACGAATAATGTAAACAGACTAATCGGTCGAACCTAGACAAAAGATAAACGCATGCTCTAGCCCAGATGACTCACAAATCATCGATACATTAAATTCATAAAATACTCTTCGATGAAGCAGCTAAAAGATTGAATACACAACATTCTCCCTCAATGTTTATGGTGCTTTAAACAAAGAACAAAAAAAAAAGCAAACAATGATAATAGAAAAGTTAATGATATCTTGCAGTCATCGTCGCAGACGACAAACATCAAACGCATTGCTCGTTGAAGTATTCTCTCCCATTGTCAGTTCTTAGAACTTTAATTCTTCTTCCAGTTTGATTTTCTATCATGGAGCAGAAGTTCTTAAAAATGTCTGAAACTTCACTTTTATTTTTTAGAAAATAACAAAACATTTTCCTTGTATTACCGTCAATTAAAGTGAAGATATACCTTTTTTTACCCCATGATTCGACTTCCATAGGACCCATAAGGTCTGAATGGATTAAATCAAGCTTATTTTGGGAAACTCTGTTATATTTTTCATTATAGAACACACACAACACCACGGAAGTTTTTTCGTTTTCTTTGCAGCAAATGCACCGACACTGTTTTATTTACTGTTTTGCCATTTTGTGTCTTATAGTAATTTGGTTTTTATGAAGTCTGAAGTTATTTCAACCCCCCAGAGCCTGTAAGACCCTGTAGAAGTATAACTCCCAAAAATTCGTCGTCTAGTGGTTTTCCCATTGACAGAAGTTGCTGAGACAAAGCCGTAACTTCATTAACGTATTCCTCCATGGTGTTGAAATTTTCTAATTTTATTGAACACCGATTTCTTAAGAGGCGTAGTCGTCTGTGAAGTCCTTTGTCCCCGAATGCACTTTCCAGGGCTTGTCATGCTTCAGTGGCTGTTTTGGCTTGCATGACATGAGGGTACGTAGATTTGTCCAGAGAAAGAAATATTTTTGAAAGAGCTTTCTCTGTATGTGTATAATAGTAATATAAGAATAAACTAAACACTAATTACATACTAATATCAGTCAATATTCCAAAACACTGAATTCGGTCAGTCGAAACTTACCGCGAACTCACGTAAATCACGCACAGGTCAATCGTGGTGAATTGTAATAAGCTAGACAAAAGAAAAGTAAAACAACATAAGCGTCCAGGCCCTCCAAAAGGATCGCCTTAAGAGAATGAGCATTTCATAATATTTGTAAGTCAATTAATATCTCAAATATTTGTCATTTAATGTGGCCTGAGACGACTGTCTGTATCTTCACATACAGATACCAATTAATCTAGCAATTACTATGCCTCAATAAAATAATAACGTTGGGGCCTGCTTTACCCCCGCTCTCAACCGATGACTAGAACAAAGGGCGCGGCCCAGCTGCCGGTGAGGTCCTCAACTCGCACTCACCTCTGGGGGGGCAAAATAAACCGGACTCTCCACGGAACAACCACATGTTGACCCAGTCCAACCAGAGTGACCTATACACACACTCTGGCCTCCTCGGTAAAGCAGCCACTACCCTTAGTCACATTAGACAGTCGAATNTATGCCTCAATAAAATAATAACGTTGGGGCCTGCTTTACCCCCGCTGAACCGATGACTAGAACAAAGGGCGCGGCCCAGCTGCCGGTGAGGCCCTCAACTCGCACCCACCTCTGGGGGGGCAAAATAAACCGGACTCTCCACGGCTCAACCACATGTTGACCCAGTCCAACCAGAGTGACCTATACACACACTCTGGCCTCCTCGGTAAAGCAGCCACTACCCTTAGTCACATTAGACAGTCGAATCAGAAACCACCCTATTTGACGCACACATGGCTTCGCATTTAAATTAGTTCTCAGGTCTATCTTACTTCCAAATTATTTTCATTTAACTTTGGTCAAAACTAACGATCCCAATCTACTGTCTTTAACTTGATACCAGCCAGAATCTAAATGAATTCTAACATGAACAACTCAATACAAAGGCCACTGCTCTACCTCCGCCCCACCTTACTAGTACGGGTGGCGGGGCCCATTCCATTCGAGGCTGATTCAGCGCGCTGAACCCTCTCACCGCACTCACAACGGGGGGGCAAACCTCGGACTCTCCAGGGTCAACCACTTGTTGACCCAGCCCAGCCAGGGTCCACACCAGGGTATGAAATGTCGAGCGCGAGCGACACCTAAGTTTACCCCACGTAAGTTTTTAAAATTTTTAAATTACCAAAATCGACATTACCGACATACCAGGCGACATACATTTTACTGAAACGACAACAGATGATGCGATGGCGGTTGCGATTATCAGAGGAATTCCGCAGTAGTTGTGGCGTTATTGAGCAATAGTGAGTAGTTTCACGACTTGTAATATTTTAAAATGTTTGTAAGAAGTACTTTTACCTATCCTGCAAGTAAGTAATATATTGAATACTTCAATCATTCTTTACAATAAGTAAAAAAACGATGTTTTCTGTCCAACACAGAAAAACCGTGATGTGCAGTCTACACTATTACGGGGTCAAATTAATTTGAAATGTTCTACCTAGATTATACAGTTCCTGCAGGAGTTAAAAGTCAAGATGCCGCTTTTCATTTTCCTGAAGTAACAGCGGTTCCAACGAAAGTGGCAGGTATTGTAATTTGTTGTTGTGAACTTAAGTTTTAAAAAAAATGTTTTGTAGAACTTCTTCTGGTAGAGGATGGAAGCAGACGGAATTTCCCCATTAAAAGATGAAAAAGTACTGCATCCAGTGAAAACATATGACGGCAAACGAAGAATTGTTTTAACTGTAGGTAGTTATGGAGATAACGGTTTCAAATATCCAAAACATATATAATTATTTGTTATAGAAAGTACACTCACAATGGACAATATAGAAGCTAGTATTTCTGCAGTTTCTCAATCGTTAGCACCCCCTGTAGAAACAGGAAGCAGTACTAAATTAGGTAAAGAACAATTTCTTTGTTCATACAAATATACCTGTCTCAGTATGTATATTTTAATTAATTGATGTTTGCTATTTACTCGTATATTGTGCTAATTGTATTTATTACTGCATTTGTACTTTGTTATTAAATTTGTTAATTTTATTTTTGTTTTTTTTTCAATTTCCATTTAAAACAAAAAAAAATAAAATTTGGTGTAATTTTGAAATGCGCGCCTTTGGTTACGCTTCATAGTTTGATGTATAGATGGCAGTGAAATTCGAAGTTTTCTTTGCCAATACCATTTATATATATATTCCAAGTATNAGTACTTCAATCATGCTTTACAATAAGTAAAGAAAGGATGTTTTCTGCCCAACACAGAAAAACCGTGATGTACAGTCTACACTATTACGGGGTCAAATTAATTTGAAATGTTCTACGTAGATTATACAGTTCCTGCAGGAGTTAAAGGTCAAGATGCCGCTTTCCATTTTCCTGAAGTAACAGCGGTTCCAACGAAAGTGGCAGGTATTGTAATTTGTTGTTGTGAAACTTAAGTTCTAAAAAAAAATGTTTTGTAGAACTTCTTCTGGTAGAGGAATAGAAGCAGACGGAATTGCCCCATTAAAAGATGAAAAAGTACTGCATCCAGTGAAAACATATGACGGGAAAAGAAGAATTGTTTCAACTGCAGGTAGTTATGCAGATAACAGTTTCAAATATCCAAAACATATATAATTATTTGTTATAGAAAGTACACTCACAATGGACAATACAGAAGCTAGTATTTCTGCAGTTTCTGAATCGTTAGCACCCCCTGTAGAAGCAGGAAGCAGTACTAAATTAGGTAAAGAACAATTTCTTTGTTCATACAAATATACCTGTATTAGTATCTATATTTTAATTAATTGATGTTTGCTATTTACTCGTATATTGTGCTAATTATATTTATTACTGCATTTATACTTTGTTATTAAATTTGTTTTTTTTTTTCAATTTCCATTTAAAACAAAAAATAAAATTTGGTGTAATTTTGAAATGCGCCCCTTAGGTTACGCTTCATAGTTTTATGTATAGATGGCAGTGAAATTCGAAGTTTTCTATGCCAATACCATTTATATATATATTCCAAGTATCGTCTACTAATGTAGGGTAAACTTAGATGTCACTGGTATCGTCATAATCTCGCGAGCTTTACATCTATTTCCTAGTCTAAGGCCCACACTGGCCTCCAAGCAAAGCAGCTTCCAAAATACGAGGGTGGATTGATAAGTTTCCGGCCTGACCAAGAGATGACGCCACTAGGCCTACCTTGAGGTGACATTCTATAGTACCATCCTTGGATAGCTTGTAGCTATAGTTTCAGCCCGATCTCCTTGCTAGTGTAGGTTTGACAGCACGCTGAACAAGACGCCTCTGTGGTTTTCGTAAAAATGGAAAAGCAGGAAAATCGTGCTGTCATCAAATACTTTTATTTGAAGGGGTTAACGCCGAAGGAAATTAAAAAAGAGATGGACTCAACACTGGGGACATCCTCCCCGTCATATTCAACCGTTAAGCAGTGGGTTTCCGAGTTTAAAAAGGGTCGTGTGAGCACCTCTGATGGGCCTCGCTCAGGACGCCCCGTTGAGGTCACAACTCCAGATATGATCGAAAAAATTCATCAAATAGTGCTGGGAGACCGCAGATTGAAAGTGCGTGAGATAGCTGAGACCTGTAAGATGTCATATGAACGTGTGCAACATATTTTGCACCAACATTTGCATATGGAAAAGCTCTGTGCAAGATGGGTGCCGCGTTTGCTAACAGTCGACCAAAAATTGATTCGAAAAAACATTTCTACCGCAAATTTGTCATTGTATAAGCGTAATCCAAGCGAATTTTTGCGTCGATTCGTAACCGTTGACGAAACGTGGGTCCACCACTACACTCCTGAAACCAAAGAACAGTCTAAACAGTGGATTGGACCAGGGGAACCAACTCCAAAGAAGGCAAAAACAATTTTTTCGGCGAACAAGGTTATGGCTACTGTTTTTTGGGATGCAAGAGGTATTATATACATTGATTACCTTGCAAAGGGTAATACTATCACTGGTCAATACTACGCAGACTTATTGCAACGTTTGAGCCACGAGGTGAAAATTAAACGACCTCATCTGGCGAAGAAAAAAATCTTGTTTCATCACGATAACGCACCAGCGCACACGTCAATCGTTGCGACGGCTAAAATCAACGATCTAAAGTTTGAATTGATGCCGCACCCTCCTTACTCTCCAGACCTAGCCCCGAGTGACTATTTTCTGTTCCCTAATCTCAAAAAATGGCTTGGCGGTAAGAGATTTGCGGACAATGAAGAAGTAATCGAAGCTGTAAATGGTTATTTTGAGGAGCTTGACGAATCAGTCTATAGAGATGGCATTAATAGACTGGAACACCGCTATGAGAAATGTATCAGCCTTGGAGGAGATTATGTTGAGAAATAAAAAAAAAAAATTTTTAAAAACCTTGTTTTTCTTGGTCAGGCCGGAAACTTATCAATCCACCCTCGTAAATATAATATACATAAGACAGCAGGATTAATGACCACCTCAACTAGCTCACGTGGCTGTAAGTAGCTTAAGCATTTTCCCTTAAACATCTAAGCCTATATCATTTTGATATATTTAATCAACTTAATTAACTCAATTTACTTAATTTAGCCTGTTCTATCTATCTATCCTAATAAAGAACCAAGACACTCAGTGAGCAAAAACTCACCTCTATAAACAGGAAAATTAATCTAAAATAGATAATACAAAACACACAAAAACTAATACGATGCGACACACGATTTGATCGAGAATCTATCGAACAGCGACTAAAGGGAATGGTTCACATGCGTTTTGAGTTCCCATAGTCCGGTCGTCCACATCTGGTTAACATTATATTCACTGCTTCTACTTGACACAGAACGGTATACAAACCCTCATAATTTATATGAGCATTTCCTAAAACGCGAACTAATAATGTTTTAGCAGAACGCACGGCAGCTTCCCAAATACCTCCTTGATGTGGTGAAAAGGAAGGAATGAAATGCCACTCTATAGAATTTTTAAGAAGAAACTCGCAAATTTCACTATTCTGAACGGAATTCTTTAATGTCTTAATAATGTTTTTTAATTCATTATTCGCCCCCACTATATTTATGCGTACAAAGGCCCCTTCTAGAAACGAAGCGCTTTAAACAATTTAAGAATGATTTGGTAGACAAATCTCCAGCCAGCTCAATGTGCACAGCTTTGGTGGTAAAGCAAACAAAAATGCATATATAAATTTTTACCAATTTGCGCGTTCTTAAAGTTCCGTCCTTGACTAGAATCGGACCTGCATAATCTGCACCTGTCGAAGAAAAGGGTCTGGTTGGCACCAGTCTAGATCTGGGAATATTTCCCATTAATGGGTTTAAATTAGAAGGTTTAGTTTTAAAACAAACTACACATTTGCTTAAAATATTCTTTACCGTTCATTTACCGTGAATCGGCCAATACTTATACCTTATCGCATTCGATGTATGCTGTTGTTACTAATTTTGTTAATGAGTGCCGAGGAGGTAGGAGTATCTGATGTTTTTTATCAAAATCTAACTCGGCTTGAGTAATTCTACCTCCTACTCGTATTAAACCTTCCCTATCCAAAAATACATTTAAAGACAAAAGTTTACTAGAGTTCGCAATAGGTTTCTGAGATTGTAAGCACCTTAGTTCTTCAGCCAAGACCTTATGTTGTGCAATTTTGATCAATAAAATTAGAGACTGTTTTAATGCGTTTAAAGTAATATCACCGCTGAGCTTTGTCTTATTGGCTGAATTGATGTTATATAAAAATCTAAGCACATAGGCGAAAACTCTTTGCAATTTGGTTAATGAAGAAAATTTGTCAAATAAGTCATCTGCATTGTAATGAGTCAAGAATGATAATATAGTTATTTTGTGCTTTTCGGGTACATCCGAGATTTTTACAAATTGTGATTCAGGCCATGCATTCGACTCGTGACTTAAAAAATCAGATCCGAACCACCACAAGGTGTTGTCCATTAAGTCCCTCGGATTACATCCTCGAGATATTACATCAGCAGGGTTCAGCGTAGACGGAACATGCTTCCATACACATTGTTTTGTAAGTTCCTGTATTTCTGTTACCCTATTAGCAACGTATGTGTTCCAAATATTTGATTCTGCCGATAACCAATTCAAGACGATTGTAGAATCGCACCAAAGAAATTTTTCAGAAATAGACATATCTAGAGTCCCCTCTACTTTACTAGCTAACCGTGATAATAACATTGCTCCATTTAACTCTAGACGAGGTAATGAAATTCTTTTCAATGGCGCTATTTTAGATTTTGCACATAACAATTTAGTAAAGTATTGTCCGCTAGAATCTTGTGTCCTTACATATATGCAAACACCGAAACAAAGTTCAGAAGCGTCACTAAAACCGTGTAATTGTATTCTTGTGTATTTTGAAATAGTAACCTGACGAGGTATTTTAATGTCGTTTAGATCTAACAACATATCATAAAATCGAGACCAGGAAGTACATAAATCCGCAGGGACAGGCTCATCCCATGCGATTTGAATTTGCCAAAGTTTCTGGAGAAGAAGCTTTGCTTGAACTATGACTGGACCTATAAGACCTAAAGGGTCGAATATTTTCGAAACTGTTGATAAAATGAAACGTTTGGTGATAGTTTTAGTTTGAGGTAAATTGATACAGTAAGAAAATTTATCATTATTTGGGTTCCATATTAATCCCAAGGCCTTAATATTCTCGTCCCTCGAAATATAATATTCAGGTAAGTCCTCTATCTTTTGACTATCAAGCAATTCCTGACTATTGGAGCACCATTTGCGTAACAAAAAAACACCAGATTTAAGGATGTCGGAGATTTCTAATTTTAATGCTGACTGAATATTATCTGCGCCACTGATTAGATCGTCCATATAGAAATCATGTTTTATTGCTTGTGCAGCTTCGGGAAATTGAACTTCATTTTCTAACGCTAATTGTTGTAATACACGACAAGCCAAAAACGAAGCCGGAGCTGTTCCGTAAGTAATTGTATTTAATTTATAATGTTCGAGCTTCTGATCTAGACCCGTACGTCATATTATTCTCTGCAGGTCTCTTTGTTCTGGCTTCACGTTAATCTGTCGATACATTTTCTCGATATCACTAATAAATAATATGTTATGTTTTCGCATTTTGATAGCAATAGAAAACAAGTCGCTTTGGATACTTGGACCTATTTTGAGTACGTCATTTAACGACAGTCCTGAGTCAGTTTTGCAAGATGCATCAAAAACCACCCTGAGCCTTGTAGTTTTACTTTGTTCCTTTATTACACCATGATGTGGCAAATAAAAGATTGGATTATGATTGTCGTCATTCGCGATATCTATGGGAGACATATGTCCCAAATTTTCGTATTCTTCGAGAAAATTTTTATATTGTGATTTTAAATCGGCATTACGCTTTAAACGACCTTCTAGTGCTAAAAATCTGTTTGTTGGATTATGTTTAGAATCGCCTAATTTCGAAACGTTGTTTTTTAAAGGTAAACTAACTTCAAACCTACCACTAGAGTCTCGCTTAACCGTTTCTATAAAATGCTATTCGCATTCTAGTTCTTCTTTTGACAGACATTTTTTCTCATGTATTTCCTCTATCGCCAGAACTGCTTAACCTGCTCTTGTAACTGATGATCGGAAATAGTTAAATTA